TCTCGAAGGATATTAATGGCAATGTATCTTTTACTGCAATAAATAGTTCTCATTTAAACATATACCATGTATTTTGATCACCCCTTGTCTGCACAGTATGAGTGTGATTTTGTGAGCGTATTAATAAAGTATATGATATTTATTATGTTACAATCTTATACTATACAATACTATATTTAAAAAGATGATATGGTAAAATGATCTGATTCAATAGGGTAAAACAAAAATAAAAATTTTATCTCTGATTTGTAAATTTTATTTTCTTCTTTCTACTTTTATATTTCTGCACATTTTCTATAATGACCTTGTAACTTTTAATCAGAAAAAATAATTACTTAAAATATATGGAGTCAGGGCTGGGGATTTAGCTCAGAGGCACAGCACCTGCCAGGCAAGCACAAGGTTGTGAGTTTGATTCCTGGTACTGTAAAAAAAAAAAAAAATATGGAGTCACTGGGTGTGGTGGTGCACGCATGCCTATAATTCCAGCACTAAGGAGGCTGAGGCAGGAGGATCGTTGCGAGTTTGAGGCCAGCCTGGGCTAGAAAGTGAGTTCAAAGTCAGCCTGAACTGCATAGCGAAACCCTGTCTCCAAAAAGAAAAAACAGAAAAAAAAAAAAAAAAAGTCATGAGAAAGGAAGAGAGGCAGACATGCACGGAACAGGCATGTTTACATCTGATTGACATGTATAAAATAATGGGCTAAAATTTGGAAATATTTATCTTCACTTAATATTCAAGGGCGAAGACACAATACACAGAGAGAAAGGATTCTATTTGGGGGAATCTGCAAGTCTCCTTAGTCCTTTTCACTGTCCAAAGACTAACAGCCTCTGTTGCTAGGAGGAAGAGACCTAGGCTACTTTTTGGTCCTAACCAGAATCAAGAGCAGTACAACTGTGTTTGCTATGAGAAATTTGAGAAGGCCTTCTTAAGGAATCTTAATTAGTAAAACAAGCACAGTCTCAAAGCACAGACTCTCAAAGTCTTCTTCCAATCTGGGTCTCCCAGGGTATTAAGAGTACAAAAAATAAACTCATGATCAAAATTAGTCTCATTTTAATTCTAAGCCACACTTCTAATAATCAAAATGCAGTGTTCCACTTTTGAGAGCCTCAGCCGAATAAAACAATTCTTGAACAATGCCTAGCACATATAGGGTATTTAAAGGCTATATGTAATAAAGGAAGAGTGACTGAGAGGCCCACATGGAACCTAGGCATCTCAAGGAAAGGTTTTGCAGTCCCGCGCCCACATCTACTTTACACTTTTGGGTAACCCAGACCAATACCAAGCCCAACTGATGAAGGTATAAGGATATTCATGAAAGAGAAAGGAGACACCTCTGAGTGTGGGGCTCCAGCTTAATGCGTTAGATAGAACCTCAAATGCAAGGCTCAGACTTAACTGGTAGGGAGAAGCTCAGCTACCAATCTCATCTCTGGTCTTGCACTCTGGTCAACTCTCAGCTCTGGCTGGATCTCAGTTTGAATTCCAATCTATCTACAATATCTCCCGGCAGAGGTAGCTAGCCTTGTGATTTTCAGCCAATAGGTATTACTTTTTCATGACATCGCACAGATTATTTTCTCTATCCTAGAAAAACTGAGCAGGAGAAAAAAATATCTTGTTTGAGGGCCACTAAGCAAAGTGATAAAAAACAAGCTCCTTTCAAAGTCACTCTTTTGCTCAGCACAACAGAAGTAAGGTGGTTCTTTTTTAGATTAGCAATGTAGCCTAAAATGTCATATTTCTTTTCTCTAGTGTCACCTTACATAAGCATCTGTCATCTTTGAAATCTCTCTGCCCCTTCAGCTCCCCCACATTTGGCTAGTTACAAAATCTTGTTGGTTCTTTCTCTACAATCATTTTGAGCCTGTGCTTTTTTCCTGACCTCACACTAGCTGTTTGGGTAGGCCCTTGAGAGGGTACTCTCTGCCTAATTCACTGCAACTCTTCTTCCTCCATGTCTTTCTATGCCAAATACATAATATACACTCCACACTGCTGCTGGGTTACCCTCCTGAAGCTAGAATCTGACCCTGGCACATCTGTGTTAGACATACTTCTTTTCCATCAGCAGCCATTATTTCAGGAGAGCAGTCCTCCATCACCATCCTATTAATAATCTTGCTCAGCCCACAGGGATCCATGGACTAACCCTACATATACCCCACACCTTACTTCCTTCAAGAAAACAAAACAAAACCCAAACTCCTTAGCACAGTATGTAAGTTCTTCAACAAGAGACCACCTTAAATTTTTCAGCTTTAATTCTTTCCCAGCCTCAAGTAGTTCTTCAAATATTAAAATAATAATCATCAGGGAACTCCTACCTTCTGCTATAGCCACGGCATACCAATTTCCTCCTCCCATGCCAACTGCTAATAATATGCCCCAAATCTGATTTATTCTTCTACTTTCTCCTCTAGTCAGTCTTCCAGATCCATCTCTTCTTAAGTGCTAACATATTTTTACATGACAGCTTTCAGATGCATGCACACCTTACCCTAGCAGGATTCTGCAGAAAAGTATGAGCTCTTAATCGCTAGCATCTGACAATGTGTCCCAGAGAGCAGATACCCCATGAATGTTTGAAACTCTGTTCAGAAATAAAAGAGAGCCAACAACCTATTAGCACTTTTTTTTTTTTGGTGGTGGTGGTAGGAATGGAACCCAGGGCCTCAGGAATGTGCTAGCCAAGTGCTCTACCACTGAACTACATCCCCAGCTTGAACTGCATGTAGACTTTTTCTTCTGTTTTGCAGTACTAGAAATTTAACCCAGGGGTCTGCACATGATAGGCAAGCATTGTACCGTTAGGCTACATCCCTGACCCACTAGACTCTTAAGTCTTCCCTACATTAGAGTTTCTCAAAAATTAGCCATATCATTGTATGACCCAGAAATTACATGTTGGGTATTTATCCTACAAGAACAAATGCATGTTGTTATGGTCTGCATCTAAACTATCCCCCATAAGACCCATTGCATTGAAGACCTGGTCCTGAATGAAGCAATGTTCAAAGGCAGGGCTTTGGAGAACTGATCTGATCATGAGGCTGCTAACCTCATCAACTGAGTATGATCCACTGATAGGTCTTAGCTCATGGGTGATTAGGAGGCGGTGCCTATTTGAAGGGAGTGGATCATGGAGGAATGATCCTGGCACTGCCTCTGCAACCTGGCTCCTCCTCCTCTGGTTCTTTTGCCCTCTCTCTGCTCCCTGGGTGTCATAAGGCAGGCAGCTCTGCTCTGCACTTCTATTATGTCCCACCTCACTCCATGCCCACAGCAATGGAACGAGCCCACCAACTGAAACTGTGAACCAAAATAAAAACTTTGCATTTCAGGTTGACTTTCCCAGAGATTTTGTCATAGCCATGAAAAGATGACTAACATATTTCCACATATGCTCACACAGAAACCTGTATGGAAATAAAAACAAACGTTGGTACGTCTGGACAGTAGAATACTACTTAGTAGTTTAAAAAAAATATATATATATATACACACACACATATATATGTAAAACAAATTATTGTTAAATGAAATAAGTTCAACAAATCTTGAAAGAATTATGCTGACTAATAAAGAAAGCCAATTCCAAAAGGTTTGTATGATTCCACTTATATAACAATCTTGAAATGACAAACTTAGAGAAATGATGAACAGATTATTGGCTGCCAGGCTTAGGGATGGGGTGCAAGGGGGTGAGACCGATGAGTGTAGCCATCAAAGGGCATTGCAAGAAACCCTTGTGATAAAGGAAATGTTCTGAAGCTTGAGGCCTCAATGTCAATATCCTAGCTTTTGATGCTGAAATGGTTTTTCAAGATATCATATCATCGGCAGGAACTGGAAATGAGGCACAAAGGACATCTCCTTATGATTTCTTACAACTGTACAGGATCTTCAATCAGCTCAAAATATAAATTTAATTTAAAAAACTACAGTATATCCCAAGTCTGAACTGAAAAAGATACTCAGTGCTAAAACACCCCACGGTCACAGTTTTAAGTGGCAGATTTCCCTGTAACTAGTGGTACCACAGGGTTTTGCCCACAAGGGGCGAGCAGCTCTCTTAAAACAAAGGGAGAGAACAGTCATCTGGCCCAAGTGAGAGAAGAGGCTTTTCACATGTGAAAGCCACTTTCTAAAACTGGGATGGCAAAAATCCTAATAAATAACTGACAAAAGAACGATCCTTGCCCAGGACACAGAGCTAGAACCCCGAGTGATAGTCCATCGTCACAACTGCATGGCTGGGGCTACATGGAAATGAATAACAGCCGCTGACCTGTGAAATATGATCTGTTTGCCATTTAGATCCATGTGACTCACTGAGGCAGGCTGTGTTCATATCTAAAAATACAGGAAATCTGCAGCCTAAGCAAATTTGCCTCATGGGTTTTCTATTCAAATACTGCACATTTGGAGATAGTGGTTTTATATTTGTATCAGTCACTGGCAAAGGCAGTTTTCCTGCTCAAGTAACTAGGTCTAGGTTGATAACCTAGAAGCAGAGAGGATCAGAAGATTCATCTGCGAATATCCATTTTATCTGAGAGTTCAGTAACAGCAACATGCCCTCTGAAGTCCTCTACAGGACAGAATGATGCCCTGCTTTGGGCATAGGGTGTGTCCCACTAAATACCTGCCCCAAAAGAGAACAGAGGGACTCACAAGCTATTAAAGACTGAGTAGGGTGTGGTGGTTACATGAGTGATCAAGTGCCACTTGGATTGCCCATGGCTGAGGATACAGAGAGGATGTGGTGCCTGAGACCTGCTATTTTTTATCCTGTACAGTCTTACTCAAAACCTTTCCCAGTAATGCCCATAGTCATGACAACTGGCTAACAGGGCAGTGGAATTCAGGGCCTTAGCTCTTGGACACCCTGATTTCTTTCCTAGACACCAACACTACTCAGGGACACAGTGACTTTTCAGAGTGAGCTCCTCCAGAGACATGCCTGGAAGACTCCCTCCCACACTCACCCATCAGAACACTCAGCAACTTCTGCACTCTGGAGTTGACCCCTACGATTCGGTAGAGTCCTTGTTCATTGATCCCTGAAAAGAGAAACAAGGATGATTTAATTAGAGGCACGTCAGAACACGAGTCAGGCAGGGGGCCACATGCTCATTTTATTTTCTTCTTTTCATTTTCTCAGTCCTTCTAAAAGCTGCTCTAATTAAAGTCTGCTGTCACTCAGCTCAGCTCTTAGCAAAGGAGTGGGATTTGGTACAGCTGTCTAGGATTTCACGGGTGTGCTGCACACTTTGGCCCTCGCATTAGCTCAGCCATCAGAAGGGGAAGATACTTCCCTCTTCTCTTGCCAAATGCGCCCTCTGAAGACTTAAAAGATGAAAAGTGCATTCTTTTAAAGATGTCACATTTAACCACTTTTTAATTTTAGAAAGCCAAAGATGACATGATAAAAATCCATATAAAAGAAAAGACAAGGGCTGGGGATGTAGCTCAGTGGCACAAGTGCCTGCCTGGCAAGCCCAAGGTCCTGAGTTTGATTCCTGGTACCAAAAAAAAAAAAGAAAAGAAAAAAAAGGGGGCTGGGGATTTAGCTCAGCGGCACAGCACCTGCCCGGCAAGCGCAAGGTCGTGAGTTCAATTCCCGGTACCAGAAAAAAAAAAGAAGACAAATATTTTTATAATCTATTTTAGATATGGAATGAAAACAACATAAGGACATTTATAATTTTGAGGAACGTTAGCTAAATATTCTTTTTTAGAGAAGAAGACCACCTTCATTGAACCCAAGGAACTGTGCAGTTAAACTAGAAGGAGCTTACTTTTAAATATAGGAACAAAGAAACAAAAACTAACCCGCAGTCACACTTCTGATCATTTGAATGCACAGATGAAAGCATCACTGTACCATTTACAAGAGGCACAATTTAGATCAAGGATGTAAAATGATTCTTCTCCTCTTAGTCCTGCCTCATCGTATCTGACACCTTGGAAAGTACTGGTCTCCTGCTTCCTACCTTATGCCCCTGATATCCATTCTCTACAGCAAACTTCTGAAAGTGTAAATCAGTTCACATCACTTCTTATCCAACAACCTTCCAAGAGATTCCCACGGCATGTAGAATGCAAGTAAACCTCCTTACGATGGCCTACAAGGCCTGTCCTTCAGAGCTCCAGGCCACCTTTGACATTATCAACCACCCCACTCATGCGAATGTACTAACTTGGACCCCACCTCCCCAGCCTGTGCTCTAGAGCCCATTGGTCGCAAACTTGTTTTTTATAATCACTAAAAGCTCTAAAGGTTTACTACCACTGCTCTAACTATGTCCACTACCTGTCTCACTCTTTTCCCAAGTCTTTTCATCATGCAGAGTTTTCAGCTCAACCTCCTCTCTGATCGCTCATAGTGTCCCCACGGCCGATACTCCCAAGCATTTCCTTACTCCGTTTTCTTTTCTTTCTTATAATTAACAATGTCTGAAATTTTTTTTTTCCTGAATTTCTGAAGAAATATAAGAAAAGTCTGATTCTTCAGTATTTTCAGCACAACTTATACAGAAGAGGAACTAACGGATAAAAAGAATGGTCTGAAAGGATAGGACTTTACAGTAGAAAGTGTGTCAGCCTAAAGGCTTGAAAGGGCTGCAGTGACTCTACTTTTTTTTACCCTTATGCTTTCCTAGGACTTTACACAACCCTGGCTCCCACTGCTGGACAATTATTGATGAATTCTAGAGCGTGTGGGATATCTGTTCATCACTAGGTATTACAGATATGTGTGTTCATAAACACACTCTAGTAGAAAAATAACCACTTCCTTCAACTATATGTTCTAAACTGGTATTTAACTTACACTGTCCTTATTTCCTCTTTGTGCTAAATGAAAACTTTCTTCTAAGTTCAAATGTACCATTTTCATCCTTAGAGAGAAAGGAAGGGACAAGGAGGCAAAGGCTGTGACAGAAAACACATGCGTAATGAGCTTTGCTATTGCTTATTGCACATAATTTCTATCAGAAAACGTTGTCCTGAGCTACTGGTTTGGATATATCACAAATTCTGTCAACAGTTTTATATGTCAGTCTTGGTTGCTGAAGCCCGGGAGATAAACAGGTGGTCCACCACAGACAAAGGGATGAGCCTCATCGGGCACGGGGCATTTTGGATTCACGTTTGCCTGCATTCTTACTCTCTCTTGGTGAACTGCATACTCCTTTCTCATTCTCTTCTTTTAAAATGAAAAACAGGGGTTGGGGATTTAGCTCAGCAGCACAGCACCTGCCTGGCAAGTGCAAGGTCGTGAGTTTGATTCCCAGTGCCGGAAAAAAAAAAAAAAAAAAAAAAAAAAAAAAAAGAAAAACATATTTAAACTCGTGCTGAAAAACTATCTTAACGATACATCTAGAAACCACAGTTAAGACAACTAGATAAAGATAGTCAAAGCCAGCAGAGAGAGTCGCCTGTAATACAAGGACAAACTGCACAACTGGATGCGCTTTCTCCTGGCCACTCCTAGCACAGGCTCAGAGTAGGTTCCTGTCCTCATTTCATGTACATAATTAAGAAAGTGTTGAATACAATTTTAGTGACTCATAGATATTTTACTGCATAGATGAGCCACTGCTGATTTAACCAAGTTTCGAGACATTTGGCCTGATTCTCACTTTGCACTTCAGCCACGCCACTGTGTAAACATCCTTATGCTCAATCTGGCCTACATCCTTACTTCTTCAAGATCAGTTCCCACTTACTTCGACTTTACATTCTCTGGGTATATTGTATGTATTTTTTCCAAGCTGCTTTGACTCTGTTGAAGGGAGACGTAACAGAAGGAAGCAAATATTTTAAAAAATGCTTCCACACATTAAAATAATTCCTTTGAAAAGAAAATCTTTTGCTAGGATACATAGGTGCAAAGGCTCAAAAAGAGATTTCTTCCTCCTTCTCTATTCAATGCTTTATAGTCTTTATTTAAAAAGAAGTTTTGTAAAAGAAGTTTTGTATTTCTCTACTGGTAAGAGTTATGGACCATGCTTTAAAAGAAAGAATTTCTTTTAAACAAATAAAAAAGGCTGGTAGGTGTAGAGCCTGTAGAATAAATAAGATTTACATCTCTGATAAGAGTACAAATCAGATCAGTAGCAAGATGGTTAACAGTTCTTCTCAGAGCACAAGAGACCAGTACACTCTAAGCTCCACACTGTCAGGACTCTCCTTTGTGGCAGTGTCCGAGGAGAGACCACAGGGGTGAAATAGCCTCCTAATCTCGGGGTCCTGCGCCTGTGGGCCCTAGAAAGGTCACTGTGTAATGGGCCTGACTCCTCTGTGTGAAGGGTTCCCTGGGGACTTGCTCCTAGCATGGGGTCCTCAGTCTAGGGTCACTGACTCGAAGACCTGATTCACAGCACAGGATTCTGGGGCCTATGAATTAAACAGGAAATAACTGCACCTTTATTTTCACTAAGCTATAACTGACATGATACATTTCCTTCCATTTGTAACAAATCACAGTAGCATTAGCAGTACCCGCCACTTGGTCAGAAATCACAGACATTTTCAAAACATGCCACACTTGTTACAGACAGCTTGAAATATCAGTGCTTCCAGTTATCAGATCCACCACATCTTGCGAAAGAATTTGGTAACAAAGAAATTGGTACATTACTGTACCATCACAATTGTGTTTTTAAGTATTTTAATAGCTGAATTTCAGTAATTTCCATAAGGCTGTGTATTTTATATGTATGAATTTAAAATATTCTTTTGATCAGCCAAGGAAGTCAATGACACAAAATAGCTCGAGAATCCCTGCTTCAGGCCAATGTGGCCTATGGAAATACACTAATAATGGCACTAGGGGAATTCATGAGTCACTGAAAGTTGGCAAACAGCAGGTAGCTGGTCTACTGCCTCACCAGATGCGTGACCTGCCCTGAGAACAATGCCAACCGTGAGCCCACATTACCTCTGGTTTCCACAGCATGGATGCACTTCCTGATAATGCTGAAGCCGATGCTGTCCAACTGTGCAGCTGAAAGAGCAAGAGGAGGGTGGTCAAGTTACACTCCCACAAATTAATCTCAGAAAAATGCTCGACCGATCCATAGTGAGACAATTCCATGGTGCGGTCACATGTGCTTTAATTCTTCCTATGGTAACGATAAAAAACAAAAAATGTAAGCAATTATTACGAAATAGCTGGCGCTGACTGATAACTCACCATATGCCAAGTACACACTGCAAGTTTTATGTGCATTATTTTATTTAGTTCTCAAAATAACTTCGAATTATAGGAACCTGCAACATTATCCTCCATTTATAGCTGAAGAAACTGCAGCATTGAGCAATAGGTATCTTTAAACTAGAGCAGTAAGGCCAACAGTGGTCTCCTTCAAAATGCAAAACTTAAGTGATCTATAAATGCTGGGTATGTGCTTCATATAAATTACCTCACTTAACCATAGGAAGTCCTCCAGAATGATACCATCATCAGCCCCGTACTATAGATCAGTGGTGGTGAACCTATAGCACGCATGCTCTAGCTGGCTATTTGTGTCAACTGAAAGCTCTAAAAAGCTCTATACCACACCATCGCTGTAGTATAGATAAAGAAACTGGGACCTGGTGAAGTTAACATCTCGGTCAAAGTTGCAGGGTTAAAATGTGGAGACTTGCTCCAGAGCCCATATCACCAAACTGCCTCATATGCGACTTTCAGTTAAAGCATAATCCTGCTCAGGAGACTAGGGGAAAGTAAAAATGGAGACAGAAACAGCAGAGAGAGGGAGAGAGAGAAAGAGACAGAGAGAGGGAGGGAGGGAGAGGGAGTGGGAAGGAAGGGGGACAGAGAGGCAAGGAGAGAAGAAGGGAGGGGAGGAGGGAGGGAAGGAGAGACACTGAGATTCAGAGGAAAATTAAAGCCACGAATGAAGAACACCCTGAGGAAGAAGCACTAAGGCACAGAGCCATTCCTCCACGTGGTAAATCAGTAGGTGGTGACAGCCTTCTCCATCTGCTTCAAAACCCTGTAAGGTCACTTAGAAAGTAAATGATCCACATCAGCAACTTTTTCCACAGCAAGAACCAGTTTCTAAAGCAATCCAGAGGCTGCAAATCTACCAAAACTCAACCCTAGTGATAAAATGCATGTGGCAGTCTTTGAGAATGGGTTCATCTTTGACCTTAGGGTACTGGGCAGTGATATTCTCCAGCTTCCTGCTCAGAGTGAAGAAGGAATGGTACCGAGTAGAAAAGCAAGAATTTACAAGTGATGTATGATCATCCAGGCCAAGCAACAAACTTGTCATACATGAGATCAGAGCAGAACCTAAACTCATCCTGGAATTTACCCCAATGAAATCACTCTCTAGCCTGTATATGGGTGAACTCAGATTGAACAAAGACTTTAAAAATATTTTTATCCAAAATCAAACTAAAATGCAATGTTAACTGGCCCAAACTTTGGTTTCCAAAGTGAAACAACTCCTGTATTTCCGTCCTTACCTATTGCTTAGTGATACTTATTATAAAAACGCTCAGCCTCTAGGGTAATAAGTAGCAAAAGAGAAGCAGGAAAACAATGTTCTTTTCCCTCAAAATTGCCTGCTATCCAAACCATTCTTCTTATTCCTCTAACACAGTAAGGAGCCTACTAACTCAATCCTACTTTCGGTATGAACCAGTATTTAAGCTGCAAATAGTGATACAGTATATCAAGTTTTCTGACAGGAAATTGCAAGCCAGACTGAGATAATTTTTCCAAATGAAACTCAATTAACCCCTGCAGTAAATATTTTCAAAAGCAGTAACAAGATTTAACACACAAGCCAAATGCCTGTTGGAATGCGAGGAAGAATTTTTTGTTTTAAATTAACAATTTTATTGATATAATTCACATACCATGAAATGTCCAGTCATTTCTCCGACATTTACAAAGCTATGTACTAATCATCATTAACTCCTGAACATTTTGTTCCCCACCCAAACAAAACAAAACAAGATCACACACACTAGCAATCATTCTCCATTTTGCTTCCCCCCACCCCCGCTGGCAACCACAAATCTCCTTTCCTTCTTTGTAGACTTGATTATTCTATATACTTCACATATACGAAGTCATAAAATGTGTGGTCTCCAATAGCTACTTCCTTCACTTATTATGTTTTCAAGGTCCTTCCTTGACCTTGAATGGCAACAGTATTTCATTCCCCTTTGACAGAGAAATGGATAAAGAAAACGTGGTATTTATACACAGTGACTACTACTCTGTCATAAGGAAGAATAAACCTGAGCCATTGGTAGGAAAATGGATGCACCTTGAGTCCATAATGTTAAGTGAAATGAATCAGACACAGAAGCTTAAATACTGTGCAGTTTCTCTTGTATGAGAAACCCAAAATGTCAATAAAGGCCAAAGTATAAGATAAAGGAAGTAGGAAAACTGATCTTTTACAAATGGGAAGGGGATCCAGAGGCAGAGGGAGGGGAGGGGGAAGAGGAGAGGGGATGGAAAGGGACTTGAGATGTGTTATGGATATGTGCCAGCCCCCACGAGGTGTAGTCATCCTGGACTGTAAACACGTACTACTAACAAATAAAACCTGAAAGAAGGACTTCATAACACTCCATGGTATGTATACACCACTTTTCATTCATCTATTAGCTAACAGACATTTGAGGTGTTTCTATTTTATGGCTATTAGACTAATACTACTCTGAATAACTGTGTGCAAGTCTTTGTACAAACACATATTTTGATTTCTCTCACATATATACCCATAAATGGAACTGCTGGGTCATAGGATAACTCTATGATTAACTTTTGAGGAAACTACCAAGTTGTTTTCTAAAGTAGTTGTACTGCTTTATACTCTGACCAGCAATGGCTAAGGGTTCCAAGTTCTCCATGTCTTTGCCAATGTTTGTTACGGTTTCTTGTAGCCATCTTCACCCTTGTCAAGAGGTGGTTTTAATTTGCATCTAATGGTGCCGTGACTAATGGTGTTGGCCATCTTTCACACACAGGGGAGTTCTATTCCTTTATCCACTAGTAAGAACAGAACCTGATGGAAAGTATTTGTAGACAAAAAATTACTTTTTCTGTTTAAGAAGGTGCCCAAAACATTTATAGCAATGATTCAGAAGATGGTTGAAGCCTTTTAGTTTTTCTTTTGAGAAGTGCTTCAGAGAATCTTTTCAAAGGGATGACAGACAAAGAGAGAAATAAGTGACATTTTGCACAGGCTCTAGGGGGCTGCTGAGATTTATCTCAGACTTCCATGTTTTAGAAGGAAGTCTGTCAACACTGTCTTGTTGTAGGCACTGGTGGACTTTGTCCTGGATAAAGACCATTTCCTTCACCCCATAAGCATGGATAAAAGTTTTGAAAACCTGGAAAGAACTTGGCAACAAACAGATACAGAAATGGCTCCCGTGGTCAGAAGATAAGCCACCAGCCCAACTAGCAGAAAAACTAAAAGCAGAGTTGGATAGTTTTGCAGATGCAGATAAGTTCTTGGACCTATTTCTTACATAGGAAGCGAGGAAGTGGGATCTTTTTCTAGGTAAGTGATATACAGTGGAAAAGAATATAATCGAATATTTTAATAGGTCCAAAAAAATTAAACTGCACCAATCTTCATTAACTACGATTACTTCTTTTAGAAAATGGCAAAACAAAACCTCTACACTTGGTCACCGAATAAATGTAAATTTTAGGGTTTCTCCAATTTCTTTCAAGTTAGCAAACCCCCTTATATAGACTTACACATAAAACCTTATGCTTTATACACGTAAGACAGCATTTATCAGTAACCTTAGTTGTCTAAATTCAAATGCGTATAGTGTTTACAAACTGTAAAGCCAAATATAAACAACTAAAAGGAACTCTGTTAAACTGTACTGTATGCAGCTGTATACTGTCAACATTTACAGTTCAGGAAGCAGGTAAAACTGTGTTAAGAAATAAAATCCATGCCACACAAGAGTTCCCTAACAAGGTATTCAGGAAATACAATTTAGCAGTCATTGTTCTAAATCTCTAAACTAGAACCGGTACAAGTTACTACATTATCCACTGCCCATCACCCTGGCATTTCTCCATCTCTCTCTGTCTCTTAGAAACACACACGCACGCGCGTGCGCGCGCGCACACACACACACACACACACACGGAGGGGGGTTGACTTCTATCTTCATGAACTTGACTTTCTTGCTGACATCGTGATTAGATTACTAATCATTAACAAGTACTTTACCATTTAACACAGACTCGGTACTACTAACATGATAGGAACTACAGTGCACATGTAACCAGATCACTGGTCCTATCTCTGTCCACTGGGTACATAATCTAAGGCAATTGAGATCTCCCACTCTGAAAAGTGAATTCTCACTAAAAGATTTAGAACACTGTCACCACCAAGCCAGTCTGCAAATGACAGAGAAAGTAGCCTGCCAGATGGAAGTTGCTGTCCTTAATCCCCTCAAGCAGGTGATTCAGCTCTTTCACTGAGCCAAGGCTCAGAAAAGGTCAGGGATTTATTTGCAATTTCTGTATCCTTATAATCTCCAGAAATAATCTCTCATTAAGTATCTACTAGGCTTGCATTATTCCCCTACTTTGACTTGCAATGAGTTGCTGCAGGCTCTGCCTCCCAGGACTGACGTTCCCTGTCTTGCAGATAAAATGTGGACTGACTTCTCTTCTTCCCTTGGCTCAAGTTCAGCTCTGCCTAGGTTTACACTCAGGCAGCCCAAACTATTGTCTTAAAATGAATGGTGGCAGGGCACACCAAAGACTCAGGCTCCCAAGTTACAAATGTGCATCCTCTTAACTTTCATGTCAGTGCCTGGAGCCTTGTTCTGTCTTTCTTTTTAGAGGAAGGAAAGGCGATGGCTGCACAAGCCCACGTTGTCAAAGCTCTGTGGAGAATGTGAGGACACAGGAGAGATGAGTGTGTGCTTGGTTAACTTGAGGAGTCTCATAGCAAACTGCAGAATGGCAGAAAGATGCCTGACAGGTTTGAGGTC